AGAATGATGCCATGCGCATCATCCTGGGTTGTCCTAGAACTGTCAGAATTGTTAACATGAGAAAGGAACTAAAATTTCCTTCTATTTACGAAAGAATAGTTCTACTTAGTACTATGTTTTGCGCCAAAACTTTGAAAAATAATGGTGCCCCAGCTCTATTCAAATTAAATTGAGATTCATTCTAAACAATTCTGACTGTTCCCTCAATCCGCCGCAAAAAGCTCCTTACAGTGTGTGGCTCAGTTGTTGTGCCATTAATCTTATGATACTGAATGTGTCTCTTAATCCTGATAAAACTGTTCATTATATTCCCCCCTTGGAAAGATGTGGAGGTTTCTTTACATTATACACCCATCAGTGTAAAATAAATGTAAAACACTGAAACTATGAGATGTATAACATTAGAAGCTTCAAAATCTCAAACCAACTGAATCCTATGCCTTTACTGATGGCCCAGTGCAATTAGGCACTGGTAGAACAGGTTGTGCATGTGCAGTATATAAAGGGAATGAAATGATCATGTCTGGTACAGAGACTGAACAACTGGGCAAGCACGACACAGACTGAGCTATTGGGTATTTATCTAGCCACTGAGTACCTTAAGCTCAATGGTGGTGGAGTGATATTCTGTGACTTTAAAAGTGCTCTGCAGTTCTTAAATAACCCATCACAATATATGTCGGAAGTAGCTTGTAATATTAAATGGAATGTAATTTTTGCCAATGATAATAACTCTTGTATAAAATTTGTGTGGATCCCATCCCATGTTGGAGTTGGAAAACATGACTTTGTAGATCGATTGGCCAATGAGGCTTGCAGGAAAGAAAACACTGATTATGACTTTGGACTATCTAATGCAATTATTAGAAACATACAAATTAAATAAATTTATTCAGATTTAAAAGAACTAAGAAATGCCCAGAGACCTGAAAGCTGCAGTATTAAAAGTTATGACAACTTTTGTAATAATAGGTATTTGTATGGTCAGCACAGTAACCGGACCAGGCAATGCGATGTAGCCATTGCTGTAATTCGTCTTGGTTATAGACACATCTGGCAGGTCAGTGAGGCTGAGCCACTACCAGAATACTCAGATTGTAAACTCTGTGATAAACCTTTAATGCATTCACTAGAACACTATATTGTTGAATGTGAAACCGTAAAAGATTTTAGACCTCCTGGCCTCTTGTACCACCAACTGTGTAACTATTTCATTGACTCAGGTGTTCTGGACGACATCCTAACAATTCATCCAAAATTTGCTTGTCCATTTTAAAGAATGAAGAACAATTTTAATTATATTATTTTTAAGCTGCATCTCTTATGAACCATCCCTGCCGTTGTGTGGCAGTGCACAATAGAAAGTTGTTTTTACATATTCATACATTAAAACTTATTGTAACCATGATATATATGTGTTTCAGCCTACAGTTTAGACTTATTGTCTTGTGTATGACCCCCTGTCCTGCGTGACAGTGAATACCAGCATTATCCTCACTTTAAAAAGACTACTTGAAATCCTCAGATTAGGCAAAATTGTAATTAAATTTTGTCAATAAAGATGTTAATAATAATAAAATCCAATTTTGACGTATAATTTCCCTTCGGCCAAAAACGGAAATAGTAGCAGCTTCGCAAAATTGACGTGATATTCCGTTTTCTGTTCGTGGGTCCTGGGGTTGGTTAGGATCAGGCACTTTAGTACACCAGTTTAGTGATGTTGGGAAGGCTCGGGAGGACGGGTTGGCTATACAGGGCGCCAATATCTGTTTCGCCGCTCTAAATGGTCAATTACACTATGTTGTCCAACACTTTTCCTTTCAAAATGTGAGCCAAATGGGCCAAAAATGTCAATTTGATTCAGTTTGTTGTACACCTGTTAAGTCCAGCCATTATTATAATAATTTGTAAGTTGTTACCAACATAATTTCTGATTTGATTCTGCCTGTCGGCCGAGCGGACAACACTTGTGGACTTGTGGTCCCGGGTTCGATCCCGGGCGCCGGTGAGAAACAATGGGCAGTTTCTTTCACCCTATGCCCCTGTTACCTAGCAGTAAAATAGGTACCTAGGTGTTAGTCAGCTGTCACGGGCTGCTTCCTGGGGGTGGAGGCCTGGTCGAGGACCGGGCCGCGGGGACACTAAAAGCCCCGAAATCATCTCAAGATAACCCTGACTGGGCATATTACAAATACTATTGCTTCCAACTCTTGAGATGTGAACTACCCTTAGGCATTAACCACCAACAACACAACTAGATCAATCTATTTAAAGTTCATGAACTTGGGAGACAATCTGGATAAATATATTTTTGTATATTTTTAAACTATAGCATTCAACCAATAAACTTGTAACTATATCTCCTAATTATATTTGCGTTAGACCCGAAACATATTGGCTTATGTTGCGTTTATTTCTTACATACGAATTTTCCACTTTTTTATCAAATGTATATACAGCACTTCAATATAAGTTAATAATAATTATTATTATTATTTCTCAAAGTAATTTTAACCAGTATAAACACGATTGTACTGCATTTGTAAATCTCAATAACATTTAAATTGTCACCATATATAACTGAATTTACCATATTAATTATGCAAACAGGCAATTTAAAATTATCTATATATTATTTCCCCTGACGAGGCTATTGTCACTTGAAAATAAAAATTAGGCTTCACACACACACGCCTCCTTCACCATCTATTTCTGCCCTACGCAGGAAGACGCCATTATACACTAACTTTCATATTAAAGTACGTTAAAACTTACATATTAGCAACAAGTTTCCTTTAGATTTCTCCCTGGGCTTAACTCAAGGCGACAAAATCCCTCACAAGAACAACTAAGTTGCCTCTGGCAAAGTTTGGGTCACAGAGTTGCCAAACAGAAAATCCTGTGAGGGATATTTTATATATTTTTTCTAATTTGTTTCGTTGTATTGTTAGTGTGTGTGTGCGTGTGTGTGTGTGTGTGTGTGTGTGTGTGTGTGTGTGTGTGTGTGTGTGTGTGTGTGTGTGTGTGTGTGTGTGTGTGTACTCACCTAGTTGTGTTTGCGGGGGTTGAGCTCTGGCTCTTTGGTCCCGCCTCTCAACCGTCAATCAACAGGTGTACAGATTCATGAGCCTATCGGGCTCTGTCATATCTACACTTGAAACTGTGTATGGAGTCAGCCTCCACCACATCACTTCCTAATGCATTCCATTTGTCAACCACTCTGACACTAAAAAAGTTCTTTCTAATATCTCTGTGGCTCATTTGGGCACTCAGTTTCCACCTGTGTCCCCTTGTGCGTGTTCCCCTTGTGTTAAATAGACTGTCTTTATCTACCCTATCAATCCCCTTCAGAATCTTGAATGTGGTGATCATGTCCCCCCTAACTCTTCTGTCTTCCAGCGAAGTGAGGTTTAATTCCCGTAGTCTCTCCTCGTAGCTCATACCTCTCAGCTCGGGTACTAGTCTGGTGGCAAACCTTTGAACCTTTTCCAGTTTAGTCTTATCCTTGACTAGATATGGACTCCATGCTGGGGCTGCATACTCCAGGATTGGCCTGACATATGTGGTATACAAAGTTCTGAATGATTCTTTACACAAGTTTCTGAATGCCGTTCGTATGTTGGCCAGCCTGGCATATGCCGCTGATGTTATCCGCTTGATATGTGCTGCAGGAGACAGGTCTGGCGTGATATCAACCCCAAAGTCTTTTTCCTTCTCTGACTCCTGAAGAATTTCCTCTCCCAGATGATACCTTGTATCTGGCCTCCTGCTCCCTACACCTATCTTCATTACATTACATTTGGTTGGGTTAAACTCTAACAACCATTTGTTCGACCATTCCTTCAGCTTGTCTAGGTCTTCTTGAAGCCTCAAACAGTCCTCTTCTGTTTTAATCCTTCTCATAATTTTAGCATCGTCCGCAAACATTGAGAGAAATGAATCGATACCCTCCGCCAAACCATTACGACAATATAGGACTTGGAAGGGATAAAGATTTGGGAACAGGACCGTGCCCAACCACTTAGACGGTCGGGAATTGAACGCCGACCTGCATGAAGCTTCACTCTACCGTCCGACCCAAGATGACCCTCGTGACATAATCAAGACCCTCGAAGATCACACGAAGCTGTCACTTGTATTTGAGTTTATATCTTATTTAAGAATAAAGAAAACCAGTGGTGTAAGGACTGTGCCCTGAGGCACAGAGCTTTCAACTGCCCTTGGACCCGATTTGATTTGGTTGACTGTTGCTTTTTGCATTCGGGTTGAGAGAAAACTGAATATCCGCCTGCCTACTCTACCTGTTATTCCTACTGACTTCATTTTGTGGCCGATCACTCCAAGGTTACTTTTATCAAATGCCTTTGCAAAGTCCGTGTATACCACATCTGTATTCTGTTTTTTTCTAATGTAACAGTGATTTTGTCATAGTGGTCGAATATGTATCAGAGCGTCTCTGTGTCAAATGGTCTCTGTGTCAGTATGTGTCCGGGTGTTCTCTGTATCAGTGGGTATGTGTCCGGGTGTTCTGTGTCAGTGGGTATGTGTCCGGGTGTTCTCTGTGTCAGTGGGTATGTGTCCGGATGTTTTCTGTGTCAGTGGGTATGTGTCCGGATGTTTTCTGTGTCAGTGGGTATGTGTCCGGTGGTCTCTCCGTTAGTGGGTATGTGTCCGGTGGTCTCTCCGTTAGTGGGTATGTATCCGGGTGGTCTCTGTGTCAGATAATACCTGTGTAACGCTATAAGTTAAGAGGGTGGGTGGGTGTCTGTGTCACATGGTCTCTTTGTTAGCGGTATGTGTCAAGGGAAAGGGGCCTCTGTCGCAGGGTGTATGTGTCAGAGGGTATGTGTCAAGGTGTATGTGTCAGAGGGTATGTGTCAAGGTGTATGTGTCAGAGGGTATGTGTCAAGGTGTATGTGTCAAGGTGTATGTGTCAAGGTGTATGTGTCAGAGGGTATGTGTCAAGGTGTATGTGTCAAGGTGTATGTGTCAAGGGGAGTATGTGTCAAGGTGTATGTGTCAAGGTGTATGTGTCAAGGTGTATGTGTCAAGGTGTATGTGTCAAGGTGTATGTGTCAAGGGGAGTATGTGTCAAGGTGTATGTGTCAAGGTGTATGTGTCAAGGTGTATGTGTCAAGGTGTATGTGTCAGAGGGTATGTGTCAAGGTGTATGTGTCAAGGTGTATGTGTCAAGGTGTATGTGTCAGAGGGTATGTGTCAAGGTGTATGTGTCAAGGTGTATGTGTCAAGGGGAGTATGTGTCAAGGTGTATGTGTCAAGGGGAGTATGTGTCAGAGGGTATGTGTCAAGGTGTATGTGTCAAGGGGAGTATGTGTCAAGGTGTATGTGTCAAGGGGAGTATGTGTCACCATAGGATCATCCGTTAGTGGTTTATTATGTTAATGAGTCTGGCCTTAAATGTGATATTTCCTGCTTAAAACGTTATATTGGGAACTAATAACATAACCGACGCCGCAAGGGAGAAAACCGACGCCGCTAGGGAGAAAACCGACGCCGCAAGGGAGAAAACCGACGCCGCAAGGGAGAAAACCGACGCAGCAAGGGAGAAAACCGACGCCGCAAGGGAGAAAACCGACGCCGCAAGGGAGTAAACCGACGCCGCTAGGGAGAAAACCGACGTCGCAAGGGAGAAAACCGACGCCGCAAGGGAGGAAACCGACGCCGCTAGGGAGAAAACCGACGCCGCAAGGGAGAAAACCGACGCCGCAAGGGAGAAAACCGACGCAGCAAGGGAGAAAACCGACGCCGCAAGGGAGAAAACCGACGCCGCAAGGGAGAAAACCGACGCCGCAAGGGAGAAAACCGACGCCGCAAGGGAGGAAACCGACGCCGCAAGGGAGAAAACCGACGCCGCAAGGGAGAAAACCGACGCCGCAAGGGAGAAAACCGACGCCGCAAGGGAGGAAACCGACGCCGCTAGGGAGAAAACCGACGTCGCAAGGGAGAAAACCGACGCCGCAAGGGAGGAAACCGACGCCGCTAGGGAGAAAACCGACGTCGCAAGGGAGAAAACCGACGTCGCAAGGGAGAAAACCGACGTCGCAAGGGAGAAAACCAACGCCGCAAGGGAGAAAACCGACGCCGCAAGGGAGAAAACCGACGCCGCAAGGGAGAAAACCGACGCCGCAAGGGAGAAAACCGACGCCGAAAGGGAGAAAACCGACGTCGCAAGGGAGAAAACCGACGTCGCAAGGGAGAAAACCGACGCCGCAAGGGAGAAAACCGACGCCGAAAGGGAGAAAACCGACGCCGCTAGGGAGAAAACCAACGCCGCAAGGGAGAAAACCGACGCCGCAAGGGAGAAAACCGACGCCGCAAGGGAGAAAACCGACGCCGCAAGGGAGAAAACCGACGCCGCAAGGGAGAAAACCGACGCCGCAAGGGAGAAAACCGACGCCGCAAGGGAGAAACCCGACGCCGCAAGGGAGAGAAAACCGACGCCGCAAGGGAGAAAACCGACGCCGCTAGGGAGAAAACCAACGCCGCAAGGGAGAAAACCGACGCCGCAAGGGAGAAAACCGACGCCGCAAGGGAGAAAACCGACACCGCAAGGGAGAAAACCGATGCCGCAAGGGAGAAAAATGGCGACAAGATATAAAATAACGCACTTCTATTTCTCTAATTAAGTTGAAGAATTGAATGGAAAATTGCAAAAAAACATGCCAGACTGCGCTAGGATTCATCAAATATTTACGCAGCCATTTACGAAACCTGTGTATCTTTCAACAATCATGGAAGCTTTGTTTATATTAATACAGTTTACGAGACTTCACAACTCGCGGTTATTATTATTATAAACCACCTCGTAGCGCTTCGGAGCTCAGAAACTGTAAACAAAGCCTCCATGATTGACAAAAGATGTATAGGTTTCGTAAGACGAAGCGTAAATGAGTCATGAATCCTAAAAAAATCAGCCGGTCAAGCATCTTATTGCTTCGTAATTACAATTATTACTTAACCAATTATAGGTATAGGTTAAGTAATAATTGTAATTACGAAGCAATAAGATGCTTATGTTAACATACTAAGACGGTTAGGTAAGGTCGGTGTTTTCTATGAAGCTTTTCAAGGTAAACTAAAATATTCACAACAAATTAGTATGTCACATATGCACGTATTTAATAAGTCAATATTGACTATAAGAAAGTGCGAGAACGGGTTGCAAGTTTCTCAAAATAGAAGTTGGCATCGTTCCAGAGTAAACACAGAAAACTGAATTTCTGGGACTTGTACAAAGGCAAGAGAAACGGAGGCAATTGAGTAAAGTGTTTAGCTAATGAGCCTTCGGGGCCCTTATGGCAGAATTCCATGAGTAATCTTTCGCAACATTCTGTGTTAAATGATGTACTGAAATATTCAATAAAGCGCAGACCTTCCATCGCTGTATTTGTCAGATAATACGGACTTATAAGTACAATAAACGGATCTGTTTTCTATTCGACAGAAAAAATAGTTTTTAATGTCAGAAGCGTAACATTACATTTTTTTACGACAATCTGCATTTCACAGCTTTTGAATCTGAGTTAATAATTAAGACAGAATACGCTTCCCAAAACTGTGTGAGTACAACGTAATGAAAACATGATTAGTGGGAAAATTTGCCGCGAAAAGTTGGAAAATATGTCATTACTAAAAAGAAAAAAACGATATGAAAGCAGTAAAATGTTAAATTAGATGACTGCGTGTCCGTGTGGATAGGCCTAAGTGTTATAATTATACAAGTTATAAGGTAAAATTTAGCCTCTATGACTCAGAATGCAAACTGCGTTAAATTTGCTCGACTTGTTTCAGAGAGGTCCGTGGACCAGGCTTCCAGCTTACGCACGCACGCACGCGCGCACACACACACACAAACACACACACACACACACACACACACACACACACACACACACACACACACACACACACACACACACACACACACACACACACACACACAACCAAAGAGCCAAAAGCTCAAACCCCGCAAGCACAACAGGTGAGTACACACACACACACACACACACACACACACACACACACACACACACACACACACACACACACACACACACACACACACACACACACACACGCGCGCGCGCACGCACTGCATTTCCCTGGATTGTCATAAAGCCTTTGGCACTTTCTCGAAAGCGACTATCATACAAACTCGAAAAACAGGCTGATGTATCGGGCAAAGTACTAAAGTGGGCGAAGGAGTACCTTTTGGGAAGAAGACAGAGTCATAGTAAGAGAGCTGCTAGACTGGAGAGAGAGAACGAGTGGAGTACCTCGAGGGTCGAAACTGGGGCCCATCCTGTTTTTAATAATGTAAATGATCTAACAGAGAAAGTATGTTCATTCTTATCCATGTTTGCTAACAATGCTAAAATGATGCGAACCAGAACTGAGGAGGACTGCAAAACATTACAAGATGAACTCGGTAATCACCTGAGTTGATCTGATAAATGGCTACTAGACTTTAACCCTGACAAGTGCAAGACTATGACGATAAGAGTTAGAGTAACATATACCATACTGGCAAACGTCCGGTTATCCTTCAGCAACTTGGATAAGGATCCCATCCGAGTGCTGTACTGAGTATGCCCCCAGCATGGAACCCCTACCTAAAGATGCCCAAAACAAAGCTAGTAAAGGTCCAAAACTATGCAACAAGGTTCGTTCCTTTAGGGGGACTAATATATACAGAAAGGCTGAGGGAACTAGGCCTCACTACACTGGAGGAATGAAGGAATAGGGCAGACATGATATTAACGTACAAAATACTAAAGGTGATCTATCTTGAGTTGATTTGGGATTGGGATTGACAAAGTAGATATAGAGGCAATGTTCAAATTAAGGAACAGTAGACCGAAAGTGCATAATTGGAAACCGGAAACATAGATGAGTCACAGGGACGCCAGAAAGAACTTTTTCAGTCTAAAAGTCATTGTGAGAGAAATACCTGGATTGATAAACGAGGAGAATTACATAAGACCATAAATCTGGTTACTAGAATCATAAATTCGCAACTGAATAATTAATGTAAATAATTCATAAAAATGTAACACAAAATAAGCTAATTCTTAGCTGAAGGTAAGGGGCCTGATTCACGAAGCCGTTACGCAAGCACTTACGAACCTGTACATCTTTTCTCAATCTTTGGCGGCTTTGTTTACAATTAATAAACAGTTAATGAGCTCCGAAGCACCAGGAGGCTGTTTATAAGAACAACAACAGTTGAATGGGGGAGGTTTTCATGCTTGTAAACTGTTTAATAAATGTAACCAAAGCCGTCAAAGATTGAGGAAAGTTGTACACGTTCGTAAGTACTTATGTAACTGTTTAGTGAATCTTGCCCAAGGTTCCTATGCTGGGTTGTAAAGCCAACTCCTCGATTCATTGATTCTGGTAATGGGCTGTAGCAGGTGGGGTTCTTAAGGCTGAACTAGGTCATGGATAACAGAACCACAATACACCTGCGGGTATTCCTACGCATTGAGTTTGTATATTTTACAAGGATAAATTGATAAAGACAGTTCTATAACTGTAAACACTGATAGGGTTCATAATCAAAGATCTGAACAAGGTACGTAGTTTAACCTAGCTCTAGAAATATGGTAACAGCCAATTATCAATTGTTCTGATACTCTCAACAAAGTAGTTGTGTAATACAAGTATAATACATAGGCAATATGCAAAGAAAATATTATATGCAATAAAATAAACTAATTGGATAAATTTAGCTTAATGGATATGTCAATTAAATGACTGATGAGTTATACTAAAAAATTATATACACAAGATAAAGATATTCAGATTTATATGAATATTCAGAAATAAAAGATGTTCATTCACTGAAGAAGATAAACCAACTCACTAATTGGCCAGGCGTTGCCTCGCTGCCTATCGACTCTCAATTTATATACGGATGTATTAATGTCATAAAGCATAACATTGGCCAATCTACGCTCTAAAACAATTAATAACTTATCCTGAAATTGAGAACCCGGAGCCCAATCTTGCACGTTGTCACATGATCTTGTTGAAACGAGACTCTATACTTTGACGGGAATATGGCAGATTATGTTGGTAGCTTTTACTGTGGGACGGCTTCTTGCCGCCCGCGCTAGGCTGAGACCCGCAATGTCTCGTGGCGAAACTCCAGGCACCCGAGTTCGACTTCACTCCTCTTGATATAGAGTTCTAAAGGTCGCAGTACACATCAGACTATAGGTCAGGGACCTCTCGAGTATCTTGGGAATTACCACTGGTGATTAGATAAGTCGGTTTGTGCGGTTATGTTCGTTGAAAATGTTATCAACACTAGACGTGTGTGTGTGTGCTACGCTTCGATGTCAACAATGGATAAAACTTGGCGCTTCTCCCACCGGCGGCGGCGTCCGCCCTCCACTCCAGTGAAGGTGCCGATAATGATTACAAACTAATTATTTATATTATTTTGACTGATAACTGAGATAAAGTTATATCACAAGATAAACACCTAGTGGATTTAAAGATTATTGACAGTACTTGTTAGTACAATTTATCCTTTATTGTGGATTTAAAAATATCTGGAGATTATAACTTTGTTCCAACAATATTTTGATTATCTGGAAGCGTCTAGATTCTTATCATCACATGTACAATGTTATAAAGGCATTGAGCCCAGTGATGTACTTGACCAAATGGTCATGTAGGCGGCTAATGCAGATATTGATGATTCTTAAATCATCAGTAGAGATATAATTCTGATGTAAAATATAGATATGGTATAGAAATATTTCATTTCTTAAATAATATGGATATGGTGAGTGGAATTTTCCAGTCATAAATATTGGATTGGATGAGGAAGTCGTCGAAACCAGTTCGAGACCCTACGGCTTTAAATATAAACATGATAAGAAACATAAGGGAAAGACGGGGCTTAGGAGCAAATGCTCGACCCTGGAAGCTCAACTAGATGAGCACAACAGGAGAGTCCTCCCTCCCCCCCTCCCTGACGTGCTCGCCCTACAACATAGTAGAGAACATTATGGAAGAAGCCAACTGAGCACAGAGAAAGGTTACAATTTGTAAGATGTACCTTAATACACACACACATGTTAAGCGAAGAAAACGGTGCCCAACCTTGCCTAACAAAGCTACTAGAGGTTGACAAGAGAAAGAGTCGATGATTAACCACAAACAGTGGCGATGGGAAGACTGCCTGGCTATATATATTATATATACATTATACTGCATCATCTTATACTTAACGGTCGTATTTACACCTGAACGGTCGTATTTACACCTGAACGGTCGTATTTACACCTGAACGGTCATATTTACACCTGAACGGTCAAATTTACACCTGAACGGTCATAATTTACACCTGAACAGTCATAATTTACACCTGAACGGTCATAATTTACACCTGAACAGTCATAATTTATACCTGAACGGTCATATTTACACCTGAAAATAGTTAAATAGGGACAGTGAAAGTCAGTCAGGTGTGACGACGCTGAGACCTCACAGGAAGTAAATAGTAGTCAGATGTAGACCAATCAGTGGTTAATACTACCATTACCATCCCCTTAACTATCCTCGTACACGGCCAATTAACACCTAATTGTGTTCTCCTCGAGCGTATATGTAA